GCACGCAGCAAGTTGCGCAGCGGCATCCGGACGAGGCATCGCGGGTCCTGCAATAGAATTCAACATGTCAAAGCGTGTGCAGACTGCTGATAAACTCTGCAGAATTCTGCGTTTGAAAACATTTTCCGCAGGCGAGATTGGAATGGAGCGGTGTCGTGAGCAGATTTTAGGACAAGGAGATGAGAGAGAACCTTCATAAAAATGTGACTACTACCACCAGAGTGAATTAAAAACACTCAAATTAGGAGTTTTTACCGAGATATAGTTATTCATTGCCAACTGCTGATCGTGGCGCTCATGCCCCTAGGGGAACATTCAAAAGAGTTCCGATGGTAGGTGACACTAGGACTAAGCCCAGGAGAGGGAGAAACGCCAGGGAGAACACAACTTGCTCACATCTTCCCCAAGAATCCCTTCCCCTCCTTGAGGCTCAATTCCATGCACAGTAATTGGCTCACTCGAATGTTCTCAACAACGTCCCCCCCCCCCAAGGACATGAGCGCCCTTATCGCTATGTTCCTTCTCATCTTTTCCAACTAAAGTTCCTTACAATCATCGCTATCCTCAAATCTCCACGCGTTGGAAAGTAATTCGAATACGCAGAACCTTGCGATTTTATCCGCGATCTGCACACGCTTCTGACGTGTTGAATTCCACTGCAGAAGCCCGCGAAGACTTGCCTCGTCCGGATCGCCGCGCAGCCCGCCGCGCGATTCGCCGCGTGCCAGCCCGGACGCCAGAAAGTCCGTCGCCCATGCACCCCATCGGCCAAACCCAAGTGTCTGTGAACCGTCCACAATGTGATTTTCGGAGTTTGTTTCTTTTCCAAGTCAGGATTCACAAATGCATCATACATGGCGCATTTGTGCGAGGTAAGAACTACGCAAGTTTCATACACGTTCCTTTAACAAAACTCTTTACAGCCGAACTGTGCGATGCAAACATGTTTACTCATTGAACTATATTACACGAATGAAAGAAAAGAAATGAACGCTCTTTCATCGATAAAATTTCGCCAATCTTTACATTACGAACATAGCAACAATAGAACGAGTGTAGTGCAGTGAACGTAGATTTGCCGAACGTTGTAAATCGAGGTATGCAGAAAATAGTGAGTTCCGTCAAAAAGAACGCTGAATCAAAATTGTCAACAATGCGATGTGTTCCGTGATGATATTCCGACTAGCGGAAAAGAAAGGAAAGAGCAGAAAATATTTGAAAGAGCGGAAGACGTCTCACCCAAGCTGTATCACTTCATCATTAAATGTCGATTAGTAGGAATGAAAACGATTTCAGAAAAGAAAAAACAGAAAATACTCAAAAAAGATCCAACTCTGAAAGAGTCACAGTGAAAGAGAATCTATTGATCACAACATTCTATTCGTGAACTAGTAAATAATCACCACGTTAATATTCTCAAACGAATAATTCATAATTAATCTTATCTGTGCGGGAACATCCTAATGCAAATAACTGTGAATATAAGGGGAAAAACTGTGAATTTGGTCTCGTGAAAAAGAGGTGATGTTTTCAACGCTAGCCGTGTAACAAAACTCAAGCTACCACCGGTTTGAAGTGAAGTGCGAAAAAAAGACATGGAAAGGAAAGTTTTATAAGGAGATCAGGATATAGAGCAGCTGTTTGTATTGCCAGAGACGGCTCGTGTGTTGCGCTGTCCAACTGGGTTATTCCTAAAGCATTATTTGCAATATATGCCACAGTACTGGTATCGATTACATACCACATGTGAACACTAATTTACATACATCATAAGTGACGACTAACCCATACTCCTGCGCCTGCAACTGTTCCGCCAACCTCCTATCTCGCTCTTCGGGACTTATGGAGACTTCATCCATAGATTCTGCCAATGCTCTTGCCAAAGCCTCGTCCTCGGAGATTTGCTAAAACGGAGACAGAACATAAATAAGGTGAACAAAACACTTAGGTTAGTTAGGTTATTTTATGTTCACTCCACGCTGAACGTATGGTATGCACTCTGACTCCACTGGCAGTCTCATAAGCGAAGGGAACCTTTCAAGATGGCAAAGGAGAGGATACAGGAAGAGACAGGTGCACAACACCTTTCATACACTGATTTTCCTCTGACATTATGTCGCCAAAAGTAGCATAATGAGTACCCACCGTAGTTCTCGCCTGACTAGCACAATTTTGTCCTCCCTGGTTTCTTGCGAAAGCAGCCGCACTGAAAATAAAAATTGTGTTGCTCTCGGTGTTCACCTTCCATTTTTGTAGTAAACGGGACGAAAGGGAACAAGAGGCAAAGGTTCCAATTTCAGGAACTTACGCAGCCTTTGAAAGAGCAGGACTGCTTCTGGCTTGTTCACAATTGTGATCCTTCTCGTGACGATGGCTAAGGCAATAATTTTGATGATGGCAAGAAGGACACGTGATGGGAACAAGCTGAAACAACAGATATCTTATGCAATTTCATAGCTAGTATTATTTGTCCATAGTGAATATCATGAGGAGAAGCTCTCAGAGTTGCGAGAGGAAAAAGGATGAGGAAAACTAACCTCCTTCTTTTTACACCCTTTTCACAGTGCATCTGTTCGCGAAGATTCTTTTTTTCGGACCTTGCCGGCCACAGATTATTCTTGGATATGCTCGTCTACCTAAAAACACCGCGTACACAAATAACTTATTGAGGTTGTCACTTTTCAAAAATTACCTGGACATCTGGAGAAACTCCTTTTGGTGTAGGCACAGGTTTATCACAGAGGGGACAGGTGGGTACTTGTACATTCTAGAAAACCTCATGAATATGATGATAGTCGAACGTGGAAACAAAATGATAGCTACGAAGCAGTTTCGAAAAAAATGCGCAACTGAGGTGTTTACTTACCTTTTTGTAAGCATTTTTGCAACCGTGGCCTTCGTAAGTGAAATGCGACAAACTGAAGTAAGTAAGGTTAGAAAGTCGGGTAGCAATTGAGAGATTGAAATATTTATAAAATGCTTAATAACTCACAGTAGTTCAACTCACCAAAATGTTCCCCCGAACATGCATCACATCGAATCGGAAGAAAATCTAAATGAAACTTATGCAATGCAATGCATTTGATCTGTAGCACCAACAGTTTTGTCAAAATTACAAAATAATGGTGGACGCAGAAGAAAAAACATAGGGTCTATTCCAGTAAGGGGGGGGGGCATCATGATGCAGTTTTTCCAGAAAGCTAAGGGTAACTCCGAGCCAGGGGAAGAGTTAGCCAGTCTGAGGGAGGTGGGGGTGAGGGCAGTCACTTGACATGCGTGAAAAGCTGAAAAGTTCGAGTTCACCGAGAATGCATCATGATGCCCCATTAACTGGGAAACAGACCCGAAAAGCATTCACATGCGTCTCAAAATGGTGTTCAGGGTCGCAGCCAAAAAGCTGAGCGATAGCGACTTCAAAAGCATATAGGTAAGAAGTGAGGCATGGACAAAAGACACTAATGGTAAAAGAAGAATACACTACCTAGAAGATGTGCAAAGCTCTGCGCCAAGCTCTGCCATCAGTTGAAAGGTAAATCAATGTTAGTCTGAAAACCCGAACTATCCGTTGATATTCTCGAAAAGCAGATATGTCTGAACTAAATAAAAAACGGAGCAGATGTTGAGAAGAACTTGATAGGCTAGTGCTAGTGAACGTGCTAATAATAGCGAATATACTAAATCGGAACATGTAGGTGGAAATGGAGGATATTGTCATCACTATTAGGGGCTGGTGAGTTTATATAGCACGGGATACTGATGAAACTGCGAAGCTTCGCGAATCAGCTGGTGATGACAATGACGTCATCGCTCAACGCATGTGCTTGCTTTTTAGCGTTTCTGGAACCACGCCGCAGACGTTCGCCTTTTCTATTTTCGGTGAATCGCAGTGGATGATGAATCATTCAACGTTTGCACGTTTGCGTTCCTGTGCCGATGCTTGTTTAGATCTGATCAGCACCCTTTATGACACCTGTGGCGAAACTTTGGCTCATAAACGATGATTCCGGTCTTCTCAATGAGTCGCATTTCCTGAGTGTGATTCCGGTGTAGGCACCATTCATTTACTACAGCCCTAAACTCTCGAACTTTATTTTTTGTCGATGTTGCCATACGGGTAATTCGTGTCCTCATTACGAAGGCCGCGTTCATAGTTCGCGACTCCGGAGATTAGGATAGTACGCGACAATGAAAACATATGTATTGACGGGGAGATTAGGATAGTAGTAGAGTAGGAGATTGCGCTGACAAGATTAGATACGTATCGATTGAAATCGCTGGAGAGTAGTAGATTGCGATATTACGATAGTAGGATAGGAGTTAGGATAGTAGTAGATTAGGATAGTGCGCTGACAAGATTAGATATGTATTGATCTATTCGCTTGAAGTCGCCCAATCTACTACTCTCCAGCGATTTCAATCGATACGTATCCAATCTTGTCAGCGCAATCTCCTACTCTACTACTATCCTAATATCCTGTCGCCTACTATCCTAATCTCCCGAGTCGCGAACTATGAACGCGGCCTTAGGTCTACCGCTAAACATTGAGCTGCTTCGTAAAATGCGTTAGCTGACCGTTCCATAGGCTGCCCATCTTTGCAGAAGCTCACCGTTTGATACGCGCAGTGGAGTGCGGAGCTAAAGTGGTGTCTGTAAACAACCACCATGCATCGAATGTCAGTGTAATTTAGCGGTCGGATTGTGTTTGATGATGAATAAAAATCCAGCACTACGTTATCGTATTTCTCCGAACATCTACGATCATCCACATATATTCTTAGGATTCCTGGAGAGCAGCGGTCTAATGGTACTACATTTTAGGCTAATGATAACAACGCAAATCAAAGAATATTGGAATGAAATGTTTATCTAAAGTGTGGGTTTGAGTGACCTATAGGCGAAACCCGGGGTCGGTGGGGGGGGGGGGGGACGGGGATGGCGCGGCGCTGTTTCGTCGCTTAACTAAGGCTCATTCATACGATGGCGGCGTAATTGGAAACTGCACACGTATATGCTGCAAAGAGTAAGGTGCGTGTCAGAGTCCGCGATTTGTCGCGCGAATCGCGCGAATCGCTCAAGCCCCATTTGAACGTTTGAAACAGTGAATATGAAATAAGTAGAATCATAAAAAGTCGTCATTCACCAATCACCAACAAGCAGAAATGGCGGCGGGATCGGAGAGACCCTCGCCAGTATTGATCGATCACTTGTGTCTTTGATCTGTCGGGCGCGACATAATCGCGAAGTCTGACATCAGCCTAACTGCCGATGGTGGAGATAAGTCCGTAAGGAGAAGCACGAACAAGAGCGCCGCGCCATCGTGTGGCCTTCCTGACCCGAGTTTCGGCGATCCTCTATATTCATGCACATATCGTTTTTATCGGCCCTTATCTGCCGTTATCACTTTCTGTCCCCCATCAAGCATGATTCCACCACATCACATCTTGGAACCTACGCCTCACTGATGCTGGGACGCGCGCTATGGATATCGTGGAATTAGGCGTATTGGCGCCTCCTTATCGGACCTTATCAGTCGTTATCACTTTAGGTCCCCCACCAAAGATGTTCCCGTCCCACCTCCTACAACATACTCAAAATACAGCGCTATTTGTTGTAGCGAAATTTGCTATGAATTTCGTGACAAACAGACGTACACAGACGGACGTAAGCAAACCAGCCCTTTTGGCGCTTCGGCTGGGACCGTATGCTGAATGTTGGGGAGGGGATGGAGTCCCCGACGGTGGACGGACCACTTCAACTCGGTCCTTAGAACCGCCACAATTTGGTGCTTACCTCAGAACTAAGCCTTAAAGAGAGGACGGGTCCGTCCCCTCTCCAAGGCTTAGTCCTGGGGTGAGCAAACCAGCCCTTCTGGCGGAGCTGCTGGACCAGCTGCACCACTTGCGTCAGTACTCTCCTATCGTACCAACCGAGTTGAAGTAAACCGTCGACCGTGGGGACCCCATCCCCTCCCCAACATTCAGCATACGGTCCCAGCCGAAACGCCAAAAGGGCTGGTTTGCTTACCTCTGCACAGACACGCACAGACATGCTTAGCGAATTATATATAGTAGAATTCTTAGCGTTGGCACCATCCGGCATCAACTGACATCACCTTGTCAAGACATTCGTTGCACCAAATTCGCTGTTCCTTCTGAGTATGGGTTATTTGGTGTCCTTATTACGAATATGGCATTCACACTTGGCGTTGGCACCATTTGGCGCCTAGATTCCGCTCGCCTGCACTGCACCCTCTCAGTGATTACAGTATTAAGCCCTACATCGCAACTAGGATTAAGCCCCAGGGGAGGTGAGGGCCCGAGGTGAGCAAGCACTCGCCGTGGGATCTCACACGTTCAACTTTTGCCACATGGTACCTAGTTAACCCACCCTCGAGTCCCCCTACCCCCTAAGCTCAGTCGGAGGCACTAATGTAAACGTGAGCGAGGTCAGGAGAAAGGGAGATATGCGTTGAACAGCGTCAATGTCAAAAACGAAGTGCATGATGATCATGATGTCACATTCGTCATCAGGACACCAAATAACCCCTATACAGAAGTTTTCCCCGAAAACAAGTGTCGTGTCAAGCTGAACGCCAGATGACGCCACCGCCAAAAAATGAATGTCATTTTCGTAATCATGGCATCGAATTACCTCTATGGGCGATGTTTCGACGAAAAATAAAATTCAAGCAGAGGTTCAAAGCAGGCTGGCTTCATGATTACGACTGTGAGTAATATCTGCCACAGAAGCGAGCGTAGTGGTGGTGAGCCAAATCTATAGAGACGTCTGTGTATTGTTATTAGCCCTTGTTATTCCTTTCTGATCAATATTCAGCGCCTCCTCAAATTAGATCAATCATGGCTTTTTTGCGACGAATTGTATTGTGCTCTTAGGATGTTACGTATTTTTATAGGTTCTTTTTCCATCAAACCCCTTTTCACCTTCCCCTTTTTCCGCTATCACTTTTTCATCACAACTGCTTCATGTTGAACTTACCGAACTCGATCACATTCTTTTACTGTGCTCTGGAATCATTGGCATCCTTGCAAACGTATAAGCGTAATTGAGCGCTCATGTCCCTAGAGGAAACATTCAAAAGAGTGCATTCAAAAATAGCTGGTAGGCTGGTGTCAGAGTCCGCGATCCGTCGCAGGTTTCGCTGATTTTCGCGATTTGCGCGATTCACGCGACGGGTCACGGAAATCACAAGTGCCCGATCAATACTGCAAGGTGTTCTCCAATCCTGCCGCCACTTCTGCTTGATAGTGATGGCTGAATGACGACTGCTCATGATTCCACTTGTTTCATATTCAGTGTTTCAAATGTTCAAATGGGGCACTTGCAATTTTTGCGATCCTTCGCAGGTTTTGCGCAAATCGAAGTCATAGGAAGTCCTGCCACTTTCAAACAGTTTCTTCCTTTAAACTCAAACGGAACGCGGACTCTCAAACCAGCCTTGCCTGCAGAAATTAGAGCATTGGTTTGAGTGGAACATAGGATCTGCCTCACATTCCAGCAATGTTCTTCAGATGGAACAAGGACCTTGTTTTGAGGCAGATCTTCGGAATTGATTGAATCACATCCGTATTTTCGCATGTACCTTCTGTCTTTGTTTTGAACTTTGGTTGTTACGGAGATTTCAATTCTCTGGGTGCCGATCGAAGAAGGTCATCAGTGCTTCCCTTAAATACCTCTAAAGTTTCAAAAAATTCCTCAGATTCTCTCATCAGTCTGAATGGTTTTAATCAGCAGACAGGGACAGTGGGCGTCTCGCATCCAAAGTGTGATACCGTTTCAGCCATCGAAAGTTTTTTATGCGTTATCGGAAGATACCCTGCCACTTTCGCAATGCACTTCGGCGCATTTCGCTGACAGACAGCACTGCTCTTTGCAAAGGACAAAGATCATGCCGAAAA